GACCTACATGTCAGATTTAATTGCGCTAATCCACCACGAAACAAACACTAGAATGTTTTAGAGGACACCACGCCGAGGCAGAGAGGCAGAGGCTGCCAGGTGGGGCCGACCGGCCGGCCCCTGGGCCCACCTGTCAGCCTCCACGTTGTAATGTCGGTTCTCCACCGCCTCCTAGGTTGCATCTACGCCGTTCCTTAAGTCGGTTTGATCCAAGGGCTCACGTTGGATGCTCCGGGCTATATAATCAGCCCATGCCCCCCTAAAGGCATCAAGTCATTTGAGAAGACAGAAACCCTAATCATCCTCAAAGCTCCAGCATATTCTAGGGCATAGCTAGTTAGGCTAGGTCTAGAGAGAGGCAAGCAGGATTCGCTTAGATTCCTGATCGTGTCAATAGCGTGGTTCGGTATAATCTTTGTACCCCCTCTCTCTTTTGTATCTCCATTACTTTTATATGCTTGCTACAATTGTTATAACAATATTAGTATTCATCTTATTCATGTTCTTCGTTATAATGTTCATCATCTACTTTGATCATATACCTAGTATAGTCGGATTATCATCATATTCATGCATATGTTCGTATAGCGCTCACCCTAAGGATCCATGGGTGGGTGGTCAACATTGTGTAAGCATGGTGCTTATACATTGTTTACCTGCGGATACACCCTATATTCTGGGTCATGTAGTCGATCGTGGATGTGACACTTCCGTTGAGTCCTTCATAGTCCACTCCCCGATGTAGGTAGCACGTAGGATCTGGTTACGAAGGGGGACAAGCTCTATTCTTAATCTCCCTTAGTAATATCCCTTATGTGTAGATATGAAGATGATCTTAGCAATGACTACTATGTGTAATTGCACTAATCAATATATGCTTTGACTTATAATTAAGAATGACTTAGGAATTATTCCTCTAATATTCTACCTGGCCATGCTAATGTCATAGAAAGGAGTACTCTGAGTGATTTATCATTATCATTGATCAATACTTATCATATATATATCTTATCATATGACTTACCCCTGTTATGAGTAGAATATTGGTTATAGTTTACTTCTCCGTCAATAATATAAGTTATCAATATTTGTCCATGCTAGACCTTCCCTGTGGTAAAAATATAAATAATGATACCTGAAATACTCCCGGGTGAAGTGCTACAATGGTATATTATCCGTGCGCTTGCAGATCCCTTTTCATTTATATATATTCTTTCTAGTCACATAAATTAATAAAGAACTACTTAGAGTTGTTCTAATAGTAATGCTAGGTAGTACCCACAAGTATCTCTGACATCATTACTAGGGATGACAACCTAGTAAAGTAATGTCAGGAGATATAAGTTTATAATAGGTGGCTATTAAAACAAGTGACAAGTTAATAAATACCAACAAGCATTTCTGGTGCCATTGCCGGGACTAGATTCAACACTGTTCTTAGTAGCGATGCTAAAGAATGTCAACAACCGCCCGTGACTGTCAGTGGCGATGACACTTGTAGCCGCGGCGGTGTCATCCCCCTTCAGTCGTCGCCGACGTCTCCGACGCCTCCGACGTCGGCGCCCACTGCCGCCGCACGTAGTCGCATCCGGCACAGCTGCATCCGCACCAGGCATAGCTCTAGCCGAGGTCAGCATGTCACCGTGGGTACACGGCCGGGTACCCAAGGTACGCTCCCGGTCAGGTCATCGTTGCCGGCCTTTTGTCGCACCAGATGTGCCGGAGGTAGAAGGAGGTAGCTTCCGCCACCGCTTGCAGTCCCGTGGAGCTGTTCGAACCCCTTGCACCGAAGGCAGCATGAAGGTAGCCGGCAGGTTGCCAACCTATGCACGGAGGAGAGACATTTGAAGAACTTCCCCCGCAGGTCTATCGGGTAGCGGGTGGGGGTGACGGTTCACCGAAAATGCAGTGCGGGCGGGGCGTGCCCCACTTGCGCCGCATGACGACCCCTGCGACAAGGCCTCACGCCAGCCGTCAGCGTTCGAAGCAGAGATGCGCTGGCGGGCGTCGGAGCGTGGATTGGGCCACCTATGAACTTCATATATCTCATCAATTACTCTTTCAACATAACTCTCTGGTACCCTTGGCCGAGTACCCAGTAGATTGAATGACGTAACTCACGATGCCCTTTAGATAGTGCATCAATTACTCTTTCAAGAACATATGGCAATGAGCATATCCTGGATTAGAAACAAACAGGTAAACAAGACGTAAGGCATTGTTGCACTAGATAAGTATATAAGTGGGCCAATGATCTAGGAGTATCATTCTTCATTTTTCCTTAATGACACAATAGAATCATAAATTGTTGGAGCATGCTCATAGTCACTATAACTAAAGCGACTATAGATCTTTTCGACATAGTGGAATGCCACAGTGTAACTGAAAGGATCAAGATGTCATCTAGAGGTGGGTGAATAGGCGTTCCTGAAAAAATAAAACTTGTAGCCGATATCAAGACTAGAAATTCCGATCACTGCCATGGGACCCACCAAAAGTGAATTATCTTGTGTTTTGATTCCTATGTTCCAAACACCCCTCCATGTTCACTTTCTTCGTTTTTTCAATCCTCTGTTTTCGTATCATGTTCCTATTTCTTTCCTATGATTTTTTATTCCTCCATTTTGCATTCATTCATTCCAAACAGGCCTATAGTGAGTTGATTCCTTGCAAAACCTACAATGAAAAACACAGAATTGATGGAGGTGACAAACTATACGTTGACGTGGATCAACATGGAAGACTAGACCTGCATGTTACCACCTCTTGTGTCTCACCCTCCGTGAGTTTGGTCCTACGTGTGCTTACCGGGGTCAGCTGATCCCTATACATTTTGGCAAATCCTATATAGATTCACTGTTCGCTAGTACATTTTGTATGATAGAGCTGGCCGCGGTGATTTTAATGCCGGGCTTCGTGCCCTTTTTTTTTTTTTTTTATGACAAAGACACTGGTCATAAAAAAAGAGTGTCTCATATATATATATATATATATATATATATATATATATATATATATATATATATATATCATTATCATAGAGAGAGAGAGAGAGAGAGAGAGAGAGAGAGAGAGAGAGAGAGAGAGAGATGGATAATATAGGATAAGACAAGAACAAAGACTGATACAGAAGATGGATAATATAAGACATAAAATGACCTTAAATAAAATAGAAAAGCAGTTCACGGGCACCTACTCGTCGGCATGTTGGCCCATCAATTATGTTGTTAATTAACGACAACACATACACTTTGGGCATGTTCTAGTTCGGCCCAACTTGTACGAAATGCATGTGGCCTAACAACCTTGTCAGGCCCTGAGAGTTTCTGGCCTAATATAAGTGGATAGATGCCGTCCCCTGGCCCATTATGTTTTTATTTTATTGAATGGAATTTTTTCAGTTACTATTATATCGATCAGGGATAGCCTCTTATAATGACCATACCTTCCGTTCCTGTTGGCACTTGGCAATGCATGCATGCAACAAAAGTGGCGGAACACCACTGCTTGCTTGCATTACATTGCTCGTCGCTGGGTCTCAGTCTCTATATAAGAGGCAGCTGCAGATCGAGGAATTAAATGAAGAAGTAGGAAATTAAACTAAATAGCGATATATTGATCGATCGAGTGGATGTCAACCATGCTGGTGATGAGTAGACAACAGAAGAAGTTACTACATACTCTTGTCGTCCGGACTCCACGGTCAAGGTGCTACTTCCGCCTGCGCCAAGGGGCTTTCCGTCCTTGATGCGCCGCTCCCCAAGCCCGGGCAAGGACGGCAAGCCCCTCGGCACGGACGACAGCAACACCTTGACCATGGAGTCCGACTACTTCATCACCGATGGCGCCGCCGTGTTCAGGTAGGGTTGGGCATTTGGTTTTCTGTTTGGTTTCGGATCGGTTCTTCAATTATTCAAGACATTTGGTTCTAGAAAATGGGAATCGGTCCGTTCCAATAAAAATTTAGGAACTGAGCATTTCGGTTTCTGGTTTGGTTTCTGTTCTAACCGAACTAATCGGATTTTTTAGTAGAGGTTAAGACCAAAAAAAAAATATTGAGGTTCTAAATCAAATTTAGGCAAACTACCTTTAGGTTAGATAATAATAATAATTGATAAGGAAACAATAGTAATATAGTAACACAAATACATAGCAATTCAATACGAGACATCGCACATAAACCAAACTTAGTCTTACAAAATGCCAGTAAGTGGACTAAAATTCATGTATTTATGTTCTTTCGGTTAATTTAGTTATCTGAGAGTAGGAACTGAAATTTCTTTGGTTATTTCAGTTCCTTCCTATCTAGAATCGAATAAGGAACCGGTTTTTTCAGTTCCGATACTTTTGGCCCGGTTTTTCGGTTTCGGTTAATTATGCCCACCCTAGTTTTGCGGCAAATATCGAGAATGCTTGATGAGTTGTTGATCCAGTGCCTCGAACAATATGATCTTTGTGGGATTCTTAGTACGCAGATCATCCATATGTCATTTGCAGACCAGAAATAGCTAGCATACACCAATCTAGCCAGAATGTTTACTCCATCTGAACATTTACATTTCACAAATATTGCAGGGTGGTCCATCGCAGAATATAATTTGAGCTCTAGGTTTTACCACTCCCTAGGTTCCAAATGGCAATATAGCGTTTTGATTTTTCTAGATACATAGTTAGATATACGCTACATCTAGATACATGGTTATAACGTTAATGAATTTTTTATGAAAAAACGAAAATAAATTATACTTCAGAAAGGGTACTTAATTTACTATAGACAGTACGATGTTGTTAGCCTAGGTCCCATCTCACCTAATGGTGCTGTTTGTGGGTTGGGACATCATATCACACCTGGAGTATATGGAGAAACCTACCTACAACAACAAATGCCATCATACATTGGCTATTCGACCAAACATGCATCACACACACTCACACGGTGCTTATTAAATTTCTACCCACCTCGAGCTCCATATCGATCGTCCAACATGGCAGCAGCAGCAATGGCATCCTCCCTCCTCTCTATCCTCCTTCTCGTGGCACTGTCATCGCCGCCGTGGGTCGTCCTGGCGGCGGACGACGACGGCACCACGCACCTGCACTTCTTCATGCACGACATCGTGGTCGGGAGCAACCCGACGGCGGTGCAGGTGGTGAAGGGCCCCGCCACCGCGGGGTCGATCGTCCCGGGGCTGGCGTTCGGCGACACCATGGTGATCGACGACGCGCTGACGGAGACGTCGTCGCCCACGTCCGCCGCCGTGGGCCGCGCGCAGGGCTTCTACATGATGTCGTCGCAGTCGGGCCTCGTGCTGATGGTGTGTGCCAACCTGCTGCTCACCTCGGGGGACCACAACGGCAGCACGCTTGCGGTGGTGGGCCGGGACGACGTGGCCGCGGACGTGCGGGAGCTCTCCGTCGTCGGCGGCACGGGCAAGTTCCGGATGGCCACCGGGTACGTGCTGTGGAAGACGTCCAGCATGAGCGGGCCCGACGCCACCGTCGAGCTCGACGTGCACGTGAGGACGGCGACAGCCACGGGTACCGGCGCCATCGACGGCGGCGGCAGTATCACCACTGGTGCCTCCTCGGGCGCCGCCGCCAAGTGGGTTGGAGCAGGGTGGGTCAGTGCGTGCGTCGTCGCCGTTGTTGTTGCGGTGGTTGGATCCGGCGTCTGGTGATCACAGCTAGAGTGCAGTGGACAGTTTGGTGACATGTCCATGACTCCATGTACGTACTTGCTTGATGTGGTGTTACGTTGGAGTCCGGTACTCTTCTCCTTTATATCATCAAGCTGTCCTTGAGAACGGATGTTCCCGATCACTAGTGTTGGTTTAGTTTCTGGTTGTTTTTTTAGTTGCTTATTATTATTCTCTGTTTTCTTTTTGTCCTGTTGTCATTCTGGGTCCTGTCGAGTGGAAGCTGGTGAATGCAAATTTACTTCGCATCCGAAAAGTTGCCCATTCCTTTTTTTTTCTCTTGTGTTTTGTTTTGTAAAATCCCTACTTTTCTTCTAATAAATTACCTTGGAAAATCTCTTGTCGGCTTTTTGTGGGAAAGAAACTAATTTTCTTGTGGAAAAGTAGGGAACACACTAATTTCACAGACTCACTACTGCCTTCTCTTGTGGGCTCTCCTCGTACTCTCGGCCCACTTGCTCATTCTCCTCTCCCCTCTATAATTAGTGTATTTTCTTTTGTTCCAAGTCAAACCATCTTAAGTTCGATCAACTTTCTAAAAAAAAAATAGTAACATCAACTGTACTAAAGAGGTAAATTATAAAAATATAATCCATAATGTATTTAGTAAAATTCATTTAATATGTAAACATTATTGTTTTTCTACAAACTTGGTCAAACTTAGTATAGTTTGACTTTGAACAACTGATAATCCATCATATTTTAGGATAGAGAGAGCAGTGATGAGCAGAGCACTATCGACCGGAAGTTGTGTTACATAGAGTTGAGATGAAGCGGTCAAATTAGATTTGGCAGGGGATTTTACTGGGTTTCGCCTATCAGTTCAATTTAATGAACTTATTCTTTGACTAAATCATGTTTTTTTCCACCTAGCACCTGAACTTATTTTTTTAATTACCTAGAGTTGGATCATGGAGGGCCATGTGTAAATGTATTTTCGGTGGTTTTCTTTTTTTTACTTGTGGTAAAAAAGTTATGAATATATGTGCTTTTGTGGTTTTTATTGTCTATAAAATGTGGCAGTGTTGATAATTTATAAATAGGGGTAAGGGTATTTTAGGTTTTCAATAAAAAGTTATTTTTCTTTAAGTTTCTATAATGACTTTGAGTAATTTCTAAGTATGCATGTATACCTTTTTATGTTAACATGATGGTTCTTGGACCTTTGTTTATCTTTGTTCTCTCGTTTACCCATATTCTAACATAAATCCTCTATAATATTTATTATCATCAGGTTGTGATATACTTTAGTTTTCACTTTTGTATGTCCATCTTCATACAGACTCATAATATCTGCACGTGTTTTGATATGAGTTTAGTTGAAACCTTAGCTTAGGATATGGGTTTAACATGGAGGTTGTATTCATATACTAAGAATGACATAAGCATGTAACTAGAGGTGTATGTATGAGTTTCTTTGGTTTTTTGTTAAATGCAGAGATAGGTAATTTAGGGTTACTTGTTATCTCAGTATTTAGCAAACAAAAGAAGACCCCACATCAATTCCCAAGGCCTCAAAATTGCCATGTTAATCAGGGAAAACAAAATTGAAGTACTCGTTTACGTGCTGATATATTACCCATCATTGGCTAGCACACTTAGGGATCATTTGGACTCCACCTGCTAATTGTTAATTGCTAAAATTAGCATTAGTGGATGTAAACACCCTATCTAAGAGCAACTCCAAGAGAGTAGCTATTTGTGTTGTGAAATCCTATTTTAGGTATTTTTGGAAGAATCATGGCTCCAACAACTATTCTATCATGTTTTCCAAAATAACAAATCACCCATCCCACACTTCTCGCTGGGTAAAAATAGAACACCATTAAGGCTTGCCATCTGCATGGTGGTGTGCTAGCAAATGGTGGGAGTATCGGAAACGGAGAAGCGAACCAATCTCAACATGACATGTCAGCTTTAAAAAAATAGATAATGAGAAATTTAGAAAGGTTGTTGCATTACTCTACTCTTTTGGAGGATGTTCTATTTTAGACAATGGCTAAATCATGGATTTTAGATTTTTATTTTACATAGTCCAACTAATAGCTCAAGATGAATTGCCCACTATAAAAAATTATTAAGTGGCTTTTGTAACTATTAGTAGGAGGCTCCAAACGGAGGTCCCAGGTTATTGGAGGGTTAATAGCCCCGCTATAAAAGTTTGTTAGCTAGGTTCCTACTAGCAGGTACTCCCTCAATAAAAAAACACTTGTCATTCTAAAAATTAACGGACAGAACTCTTAGTCCCTCCTGTCCAAAATAATTACTGTACACATCTATTTTTAACATATTAAAATTTAGCTAGATTTAAACATTTGTATCTCATCTCATAATATATTTATTATGATCTATGATATTTATAATAATTATTATGCATAATAGTATATTGAACTATGAAAATAGCAGCCGTGTCGAAAAGCGCCCGCCGATCGAATGCGGTACAAAGGTTGGTGCGAAGGGACATGTCAGTTGACCGATTACAACATCGCCAGTTGCTGTAATAATGCCGTGGGCCTCGCATCGATAAAATAAATAAACAACAATAAAGTGTTCTCGAGTGAATGGGAAAAAGAGGAAAAGGGAGATTAAAAAAAATAAAGCGAACGTGAACGTGACGGCACATGACATGGACATGGAGGGACGAGCTAGCGCACAAAGCAAGCAAGCAATGCCCTTGGGCCCTGCCCATCCATCCATCTCGATCTTACGCCTCGTTTAGATTGTAAATTTTTTAATCCGAATACTGTAGCACGTTTTGTTTGTATTTGACAAACTTTATCCGATCATATCCTAACTAGGCTCAAAAGATTTGTCTTGTAATTTACAACCAAACTGTGCAATTAATTATTTTTTTTACCTACATTTAATGCTTCATATATATGTCTAAAAATTGATGTGATGAAGAGAGAATGAAAAAACTTGGAATTTTGATGAGATCTAAATAAGGCCTTACTCTACGTACATGTCGTACTAGTCGTAAAGTGGTAGGTGAGCTCAACAACTCCTGCATCGAGTCGATCCATCTATCTTCGGATTTGTTGGTTTGGTTACTGGTTACTGCTACTACAAATCACTACTAGCTCAACAACCATCACGCTAGCTAATTGACCTGCATGCAGAGAGACAGAAAGAGATATAGTAGTCAGTAGAGGCAATGGCCATCATATGTCCTCTTCGTTCCTAAACTAACCCAACAACCAGCACCACCTCCGATTCGCCCATACATAACACAAGCAGCTAATCCATTTCCATTCCGGCCACCCTTATCACAAGCCAGCTAGCAGCACGTACATCGGCCGCAACCACGCACATTCCTTCACGCGGCTAGCGGCCGTGCGCCATGGCCACCAGCACCGCGCCCGTCCTCCTCCTCCTCCTCCCCCTCCTCCTCTCCATGTCCGCCGTCCTGACGCTGGCGGCGGACAGCAACGGCACCACCCACCTGAGCTTCTTCATGCACGACATCACGTCGGGCAGCAACCCAACGGCGGTGAAGGTGATCAAGGGTCCGGGCTCCACCCTGACGGCCCCGACGCTAGGCATGACGTTCGGCGACACGACGGTGATCGACGACCCGCTGACGGCGACGTCCTCGCCGACGTCCGCGGAGCTGGGCCGCATGCAGGGCATCTACATGCTGGCGTCGCAGTCGGGCGCGGCGCTGATGGTGTGCGCCAACCTGCTGCTCACGTCGGGCGCCCACAACGGGAGCACGCTCGCCGTGATGGGCCGCGACGACACCGGGGAGGATGTGAGGGAGATCCCCGTCGTCGGCGGCACCGGGACGTTCCGGATGGCCACCGGGTACGTGCTGTGGAAGACGCCCCAGGGGATCAACGGCACCGACGCCACCGTCCAGCTCGATGTGTATGTCACCACGGACGGCAACGGCGTCGACGCGCTCGCGCCCGCGCCCGCGCCCGGTGGCGGTGACTCCTCGTCCGGAGGAGGGTCGGCGGGGTCAGGAGGGTCCAACAAGTCCAGCTCCGGTGCGGCGAGGAGCATGAGGATGACCGGCGGGTGGGTCGTCGCCGTATTGGTTGCGGTGGTTGGATCCTGCTGGGTTTGGTGAGCAACCTGTTGACGATGACTGGTGGAGAGCCTTGGGCAGCGATGATTGGTTGGATTGGACAGCGAGTGCGTGGTCCGTCTGAAAGTTAGGTGAGATTGTCGGTGTAGTGGAGTGTGGTGTGGTGTGTATGGGTGGGTGTGTGGACCCACATGGATGGTAGGTGCATTGCGCTGCTCATCATTTCTACTAGCAGTAGCTTTTTCCTCTGCTACTTGCAATATGTGATTTTTACTATAACAAGGCTTTTTCTTTCCTTTTGCAACTACCTTGTAAAAATCACATATTGTAAAAATCACATCTCGACCTCGGATGTGTGCGCCCACGCGAAGAAAACGGGCGCGGAGGAGGACGGCCGCCGAAGTAGGCGCCAGAGGGTTGCTAGCGAAGGGACCGCTGGGGGTCACGCGGGGCCACGACCGCTGCTGTCAGGGCATGCGCGGAGGCGCCGGGGAGGGCCGGCAAGGGCGGCGCGGAGGTAGGGATGCGATGCAATGCGGGGAGGCGCCGGGGATGCGATGCGGATAAGGTGCGGCTGCGTCCTGTGGGCGATGCGAGACGAGGCGAAAGGGAGACCGGGAGCTGTGGCCTGCGATGGGACGAGAGATTCGTTCGCTGCTCTGAAACTTGGCAGGAAAACACGGTTCGATTGGTTTGATATGAGAAAAAAATATTGTTCGACTGGTTTGATAAACAGTAACTTGAGAGAGGAATCAGCCGGCTGGCTGGTCTGAACCAGACCAGTGAACGGCCTGAAGGTAGGGAGAAAAACAATAAATAAGGAGAGAAAAAAGAAAAAAAGAAAAAAGAAAAAAAGGGTATTTTGGACCTTTTATCCTTTTTGACTATAAGGGGAAGCTGTTTTGTCAAACGGTCCTAAAAACAGCTTTAACTCCATAAGAGAATCTGCTCCACCAATAAAGCCATAACTAAAGTTATTTTCGTCGGAACCGGAGCTCTACTAAACATGCCCTTAGCTACACCAAAACAATTCTTAGAGACACCCTTCTTTCTTTGGCCTCCACCGTTGTATCAAAAACCATCTCTAAAGTTATTTAGGAGATCATTTGTCTCTACAAAATCAATTTATAAAGGTTATTGGTGTTTCTTACTGCCTCTACAAAAAGAGACGTTTTTAGAAGCGACGGGAAACTTCACCTATCTCTAGAAATAAGAAATTAATTTCTATAGGTACGGTAGGCAATATGATCCATTCCTAAAAACCTGTGCAACAAAAATAATCATACTTTTTAATTTTGTTGGATGAAGATAAACTTTATATCAAAGTTATAGAACTCAGAGATATCTACTCTTCATTCCTAAATAACTGTCGTTTTTGTTTTTCGTATCATAAGTTTAACTAGATCTGTAAAAAATATGTGCAATATTTGTATCTCTAAATAAATTTATTATAAAAATAGATTCAACTATCTATCTAATGATATTAATTATATACCATAAATAATAATATTTTTTATATAAAATTAGTTAAAGTTATTTATCAGAAAAGCGAGAACGATAGTTGTTTAGGACAGAGGGATTACACCTTTGTAGGTTACTTTTTTATTTCCAATCGTTGGTTCATAGAGACACATATATAGGTAGAGGCAACAGGAGAGATGGTATCTAAAATTAATTTTGATCGTGACTAAAAATAAATTTCATTGTAGCGACATAGTATATCTTATTTTTCTTTTTTTTTTTTTGTGAAAGTGTATCTTATTTTTCATCGGAAACTAAAACACAAAACTAATAAGACACAACTCTGTTGGTTGGTTATTACTCTACTATGTTGTGTATTAAATCGGCCTTATTAATGTGTGTCATAAATTTAAGTCCAATAATAGATCATCGTTTTGTGTGTAGGGAAATAGAAGGGCAGCACAAGAGACACGTATTCTCAGTTACGAGATACTGTTGAAGTGTTGAGTATCTAATAGATGAGTCGTCTTAGGGCCTGTTTGGTTCCCATGGATTAAAGCATTTTGGATTAAAATCTATATTTTAATTAGACTAAACAGCCAAATACTTGAACTAAAAGTGGACTAAAATCATTTAGTCCTTTAGTCCACAAAACTGGACTAAAATGGATTAAAAGGTGTTGGGGACACCCATGCCTCTCATTTATTGCCCTCTCTCTCTCTCTCCACTTTAGTCCATTTTAGTTTAAGAGACCAAACACCACTTTAATCTACTTTTAGGTCATGAACTAAAATGGACTAAAACTTTTAGTCCATGGACTAGAGAACCAAACATGCCCTTAACTCCTCAATTGATACCATGACAGTATAATTAACTCCCCGACTGATTAGTTGATTTGGACGCTTTAAAAAGCGTGCATGGCAAATCCTTAGTCGGTTTCCTCGCGTAGGCGCGGTCACCGTGCCTCGGGGCACGTCGCCGCCGCGCTGGTGCGCTCTGTGCGCGCGCGCGTTGCCGCGATTGGCCGGCCACGGCTGCACTGTCTTGTCCGCTTTGGCTCGACTACGTGGAGCCGTCGCTGCTGTCGCTCGCACGGCGGGGTGGCTCTGCCCTGCTCCGCGTGCTGATGCGCCGCCACCGCCTCGTGCCACGCTTCAATCGCTGCCGTTGCCGTCCCATCCGTCGAGCTCGCGTCTGTCTGTTGCGCCTGCTCCTCGCTGCTGGCCCAGTTTGATGTCATGCGCACGTGGGCACGCCGCTGTCGCTATGCCATTTATGGCACTACGGCCACGCGGGCCACGCTGGTCGGGCGCGCACGTCCGTCGGCTAGCGCCGATGTGTGGGCCTCCCGGTCCCGTCGCTCGTGTCCCGCCAAGGCGTGGACGAGCCGAGCTCACTATCGCGTCGTCTCTCTCTTTTCCTCTTTCCCCCTTTGTTCCTCTCTGCCGCCGCCGTCGCCGTCGCCTTGCGCCCACAAGTGCGCCAGAGATAGGTCACCTCTATTCAATTCATCTCATCCGCACCTCCACCCTCATGTCTCCTCGCGGTCCGACCCCTCCCCGTCTTGATGACGGCTCGGCCTGGCGCCAATTTGGCGTCTTCCCGCCGGTAGGCCGTTAAGGCCACGCCGCGGCCATGATCGAGGGCAGGCCTCCCATCTCTCCACCTGAGCCCAATTGCCCACGCCTGTAGGTGTGCCTTGTCTTCCTCTTCGTCATGCGTGCCTTGGTGTAGTCGCTACCAGCTCCACCCCACCACTGACTCAACCGCGCCATCACGGAGCACCGTCGCATTCCACCACCCGCACGTGGCCAGCTCGGTTCAGGGAATCCTCGACCAAACCATCACCACAGCCGCAACCAGGGTACGATAGTGATGCCATAGCGTTAGCTAGTTCTCCCCACGGTGGCTGTGGGTGGCCGTCATGGTCATGCCACTGTCGCGCATGGCTGCGCGTCGTGGTCGCCAATTCCATGAGCTTCGCCGCTCATGTAACCTAGGCTAGTGTAGGCGCTAGGGTTGTAGACAGGGGTCGACCCGTTAGTGGAGCCAACGCGGGTCTTAGCTTGCTGGCATGGCCGTCCAATGCCATCGCCACCGCGCTGGCGCGCGCGGGTGGCTGAGGACCACGCCGTTGTAAAGGAGGGTGTTATCGAGGGTTTTGCTGCATAGTTGCTCTCTCTAGAAATAGTGGCATGGACTGTGGGTTAGTTTGTCTAGAGTTTAGGGGTGTTTTTGCATGTTGGTCGGCATGCGTGGGCTCCCCCGTCGTGGGCCGTTTGCGCGCGTGGGCCGCGTCTGCGGGTCATGTGTGTGCACGCGTTGTGCGCGTGCGGGCCACGCGGATGGGCCGCACGAGGATTGGTTTTTCCTTTTTCCAACAAATTAGCAAATATTTTTCTAATTTAGTTTTGAGCAGGTCTTGGGAAAATTATAGTAAATTCTGTAGGTGTCCAAAAATAAAGAAACAAAATTTGTTAGGTTCATAAAAATGTGATCTATTTGTTGATATAGTTAGTTTATAGTTATCTGTGAGGATGTAAGGTTCATTAATTTATTTAGGAAAGCTTAGCATTATTTAGTTTAATATTTGTAGGAATTTTTTTGGCAAATTGGTAATAGCTTTGACCATGAAATTTTTACAGTAGGTTCATTGTATTATTATGTGCTCACTATCATTTTTGTAGCCTTAGAATAGGTTGATAAATAGGGTAGTTAAGTACTCCTTATTTTAGTATATATGAAATCATAAATAAAGTAAGAAATGCATTTTTGATTGCTAAGATAATACTAGTGTTCGCCTAAACGGATTAAACGGCCAGCAAACGATAAATGGTGGTAAACTGTTTTGTTTAGGGGGTAAACGGAAATTAAACGGTTGACCATTTAAACGGTTAAAAAACAGGAAAAACGGTCTAAATGGCCTAAACGGAACGGAGATAAACAACATTAAACGGGCTAAATAGCTGTTTAGGCGAACACGAGGTGAATCTAGTTTAATTATGTATGGATAAATTTGTATACTTAAGTTTATTATATTTATAAATGTGTACATTTGATATGCTACATGCATAAATATTTATATTTGGTTCTTTTCACATGCATAAATATATATACATACCAAAATAATTGATTTTTACTCGAATAAATATGTATAAATGCTAAAATACTTGATTTTTTAGATGTACATATATAATTATATCTATTTTTTAAAGTACAAAACCATTTAGACCGTTTAACTTTGTTTATACACCGTGTAAATAGCCTAAACGTTAAACGAAGGGCGACCATGTAAAGACCGTTTACCGTTTAGAAAAACATTGGATAATACTCGAGTGTTTCGTACCTATTTAGTGGAAATGATGGGTAGCTTAGCATCTTAGTCATTAGAGTTAGCTTGGTAGATATATTCTTATTTTAAGAGTTGCTGTTGCCGTATTACTAAGTGTTGCATCATCATTTCATGCATGTAGATAACGAGTTGGTAGAGTTCATAACCGCGTGCGAGTAGTAGTATGAGAAGGTAATTGAAGAGTACGAGGAGGAGATTCTCGTACAGGAGGAGGCCCTGGAGCCACTAG